TAATAAAATCTTAATAAGAAAATTTAAATTTGTTTAATTAAACTGTTTCTCCTTTTTTAAAAATCTTTAAATTTGAAACAAAACATATAAGAACAAAATGTTACAGACTTTAAAAATTCTACAATAGATACAATAAAATAAACGATAATAAATTATATTCAAACAATTTTTATCGTTACGAATGTATCAAAATCATCATTTATTTAATATCAATTATCTTAATATTCAAATCAATAATCTGTAAAGTTTGTATACATATCGATTGATAGCAGAATGAAGATAGAATGCATTGTACCCATGGTATCAGGTTTAAACTAGAGGAATAGTCGGAAAAGTTTAAAGAATGAATTGCAGACAGATGCGTGTGTATAGTGTTAATGTGCGATTATTAGCACCCGGTTATTAATTGTTTTCCATGAAGAAATCCAATTTATTTTCGAAGCTCATGTTTATTAAGATTATGTAATCAATGACTGAAACAATGTTGGGATGAAATGGGACCCGTAAGGAAGGAATCAGCTAGAATCGTTACTAGCTAGAGCCCGGAGCGAGCCTAGTCTGTTAGCCAAAATAAACAGAATGTCACGGATATAAATAAAGCTTTCACTCTCTTCGTTCTTCTTTTCGTTGAGCTGTCGCACTTGACGTTGTGACAGAGGTCCGTTGATCGGTGTGCATCCCATTGGAAATACCGCTAAAATGGTCCATCCATCGCTACGTCATTGACAAGAATAATTATAAGATATTATGTTCGTCCTCCGTTCAGTAGTTTTCTCAATTGCGAGGTTAGCAGTACGATGTTAGCATAAAATAATACGAATTGATAAGTAGAAATGAGTTTCGCTTACATTATCTTATAGAACTGTTTTAGAGAAGTTGCATTGATCGAGCAGAAGAAAATTCCATCCTAGTGGAAACGTTCATTTCGTTCATCATCTTGTTAACCCAAATTATTTGGAAAAAATGTTATATCTCAAAATTTGTGACTGTATCTTAAAATTTGATTTAATGGAATTTTTTTGGCAGACTCAAATTTAATGTCTCAACACACGTTAAAAACAGTTGATTTCTTTTCTCATACTAAAAGTTATTTTTAAAAATTATTTTATAAATATGTTTTTTTTTTATTATTAGCCAAAATATCAAACGACCTAAAAGTCATGGATCATCGGCCAGCATGGATCGATGACTTATGCGGCATGAACGTGATAAATAATATTCTATATAGTTGTTATTTAATATCATTCTTCCACTGGAAGTTCATAAATTTATGCCGATAAATATTAGAAATTCATGAACAATGTTTCAAATAATTCATTCAAATAAAACAATTTAGTTATATAAAAGTATCAATGTTTTCGAGAAAGTAAGTTTTGCGTTTTCGCGATTAATCTTTTGCGTTTTGTACACGAACTTGCGAGTTGCTTTATCTGAATTCGGTATCAGTTGCGGTGTTCATGAGAGTGACCTAACGACAAGACAACTATAATACTCTGATACCAGAAACGTTCTCTTCTCGTTTACTATTTTCCCGTTTTACCGGGATTTGCATGTAGCTACAATGGCACTATTCATGTCGGCCGCCACCGCGCACGTTCCTATATAGAAAAATCCTTTTCCGTATTGCACGTGCGCGTGGTTACGAATAGCCTGATCTCAGTTTCGGTCACATCACGTCGTGTCTATTCATTTTTATATATAACGGATGTTATGCACTTGTATCCCAGTTCCGTTCGCTTTGCCGATGTCATAAAACGAAATTTTGCTGCTTATCAGCAAAATCAACAATAATTCAGATAAATCAGATAATTATCATAACTAAGATAACCAGATCTAATATCCATTATGTTCTATTCTTTAGAATTATTTTATATCTTTTTTACGATCATTCTTATAGATATTTAAGATTTGTATAAACATTTTTAAATTTAATTTAAAACGCATAAACGTTAATTCCGTTGGCTATTCTTGTGTTGCAATGAATTTTTTAATTCTGTCTTCTACATTGTATTTTTAAGCGTCACATCCAAGTATCATACTATAAATTTTTTTATCATTATATTTTAATAAATTTTAATCTCTGCATTCATTATATTTGGTTTTTTTTCCAATATAATAGAGACGATATATTATTTTTTTTTTATATTTCAATTTTAATTTACAGATTTTCAATGAAAATATGAATGTAGAAGGGATAGAAAGCTTTTTTTTAAATTAAATAAATTTATATGATCTAATCATAATGTATTTGTAACAATTCATAACAATGATAAAAGTTATAGATTAATAATATATATTTCCTACAATTCTCAATATTTTATTTTTATTATTTCGAATTTACAAATCTCTTTTCTCTATTTTTCTCTGAATGACATTGTTATAAATTTTAATTTTGTTAGAAAATATACCATTTTAAGAATTACATCAGGGAGAAAAAGAAAAAAGCCTATATTATCATTATGAAATAAGATTGTTTTTTGCTATAATTCTTTTTTCATTTTATTATTTTATTTGTTATTATTGCACTTTATTGTATTCTAATAATGCTCCATTTGCTATTATGTTATATATTCTAATACTTCTTTTATACATTATTATGAGAAAACATATTTAATTGTATATTTAATTGTATTAAGGAGTTTTAGAAATTGTTTATAAAATGTAGATTTTCTTTTTAATTATATGATCAATTGGATTTCTTTCCTCACGTTTTCATAACTCGGAATTATTTTTACTAATTTGATTGAAAAATTAAAGCAAGTCCAACTCCGAAGCCGTTGCAATTGAATGGTTAACCAATGAAGTAACTTCTGTTTAACGCGTAACTGCTAGTAAACAAGATCGAGCGTCGGTCCATGTAACGTGGTTACTTGATCCAGGATCTTGTTCGTGCAACTGCGCAAGCTCGACCGTAACAAAGTGTCAGAATCAGGTTTCGGTTAACGCTAAACGCAAGGTGTAAAGCCGCTTGAATCTTGGCGTGATTACAATTTGGCATGTCATTTGCACACAGGCTGCGCCTGAAACAGTGTTGCGTTTCGATGTAAAAAACGACCGCGCATGAACATCCTTCGTGAAGGGAGGGGTTCTTATGCGGCACAAAATAAAAAAAAAAGGAAGATAAACGAGGTGAATAAAAAGGGAGAAAAGGAGCGTAAAGGGTAAAGCATGAAATGAGAGAGTAAACGATCATGCGAGAGAGAAAGACAAGAAACAGAGAAAAAGGGAGAGGAAAGAGAGGAACCGAGCGGTCCAGCCCAGCGCAGCACGTGACGGGTATCGTTAATATTTCATTAGCATTCGTTTTGCGTCGTCCCACCAACGTGGCCGGTTTTATGTACGCTTTACGTTATACCCCCGTCCAGCCGGTAGTCGAATTTTTATTGCTAACGCGGCGCAGTTATCCGTAAAAAAATCGCGCGTTTTGCCACGTTCGTTGGCTCTCCTGTTGGTTTTCGCAGTACTATCCGTTGCGCTTTTCGACGTTCTCGAATTTTTACATGACTCTTTTTCGATTGATGGAAGAAAACTCAAAGTAAAATCTGCTACATGAATATCTAATATTCATGCATCACGAGGGATGATTATCTTTCTCCTACTTTTTCAATCACATTTTTCACTTTTGATAAGTTATTAAAAATATTAAATTAAAGTTGTTAAAAGCATTAAATTAAGATTTGTTTAACATTTCATTAATTCATAGTACATATATATTTATATCTAAAATGTATATAGCAAATAGAATTTATATTTTGAATTTATTTATAAAATACGCGGACTTTACGGTACAGTGACAGAGAAGAATTTGAAGAAGTGTTAATTAACCTTCAGATAGTTTTATTCTTGTATCTAGCTGTATCTAGTATTCTATTATTCTTATATCATTCTTGTATAAAATACTGATTTTTCTAAACGGGATATTTAAATATTATTTACATATTTAGAATAATGCCTAGAGTAATAGCTGGTATTATTCTGAACAGCACCTATTCTCTCAAGCCCTTCTATTTTTTTTTATTGTATTTTCTACTTCCCTAAGTGAGGGATCGTAATATTCAAAATTTTGAAATATCTGGTATCTTTACAATGTCTTTGATTTACCACGACATTTATGAACATACTCCAAATAAATTTGTCAATGAAAAAAATTGAAGATTTAAAAAATCAAGTAAATAAGTAAAGAAGAGAAGAATATGCTACATAAGAATTCGTTTGCAAATCGATTCTTGGTAATTATATGTTGTCGGCAAAATTTGTTCGTCTCTGCTCATTCTCACAATTCTCTTGGCCTACCTTATCATCCTACCACTTCATAGCTCGCTTATGTATTCTTTGACTACGCAATCTCGACAAGCCCCTCAATTCAGCCAATTAATTAGTATCTAATGAACGTGCTTTGAGCTGCATTCTCCGCCGAACGAAGAGAGTTAACTTTATCTTCGCGACCGTTATTGTTATCTTCTCTTTCGGTTATACCGTCATGCCATGTTGCTCGAAATTCCATCCTTAATCGTGCCAGAACTTCGAAGTGATCGAATGATCAAACAAGATACTCGAAAATTATATTTGATGTTAAAAATTTAGCTCAAAATTTACCTCTTCCTAAAACTCAATACATACGAAAAAAGTTCGGAGTTTGTTTCTAATGAAACGGATCGAAAAAATATGTAAGATTTGTGAAAAATATATTTGATGCAAGATGCTACCACATTCTTTTGATTTTCTATTAAAATTACATGCTTTCTGTTGCTATAGTGTATTATCATGTATTTTGTTTTACATAAATCGATCGATAAAATAGATTGTTACTATCTCAACCTTTGCTGAGTATATGACAATAAAAGTGCAAATTTTTTTTCTCATGAAGTAACAATACTTTGGTTTCCTTGAAAACTAATTCAATGCCATTACTTACAATGCGGTCTGAGTATGTCGCAATATTAAAAATTTAATTAGCAATCTTAGCGCGTCTCAAAAAAATAATTAAACTTTTAACTCACCATTCCGATTCTCGCTGTCGGCCGGCTTCATTTGGATCGGATGACGCATCTGAAAATAAAAAAGACAACGATATAGTTTTGCACTCTCGCACCTTGAAAGCGTCTGGACATACGTAATAAAAGTGACATTTATTATTGATAAGACTGCCGATATCGTTGGCTTTAGAGTGTAGATTCGAGTGTTCGTTTCGCGCGCTTTTTGAAAAATGCAACGAGAGAAGCCATTTTCCGCGGTTTGTGGTTTGCTCTTGTTGTAGTTACATAGAGACGTGAATGCAATTCGCCTGGTTTTATTCTAAGGATTCTTTCCTATTTCGTACACGAGACTGAAAATCGAATAACGCCGGAAATCGTTGGAATGTTTTATAAAATGTCATATCATCGGCACAAATATGTATGTGTCGATGCAACGCACTGTTTCAGGCAGGATTGAGAAAGTTACTTTGTAAAGTAATTAATTATCGTTATACATTATTCTGTAAAGTATTACGTTATAGTTATTATAGTTACTTAAAAAGTATTGAGTCGTTATCTTTCAATTACTTTTCTGTTAATTTTTTGCATTTACTATTTATAAAAAAACAAGATTTAACATACACTTTTTGTTTTAAATTATTTAAACACAAATAAGAGATAAGAAAACCATTTTGGTCTATTATTTTATTTATTATATTAAACGTTCAAATAAAGTAATTGCAAAATATAATTCTTTAATTAAAAAAAAACCATCTTTGAGTCATCTTATATGAAACACATTCCATTAATATT